AGTTATATATTGTAGGATGTACTTAAGCAGTAAGTGTTATTTAGGTTAAAGCAGTTGAATTATGTTAAATGTTGCTCTTCTACATTACATGGAACACTGTTTGGATGCATGTTGAAAGACATGCTGTTTTGTACAATTTAGGAGCTGTGTCTACAATTCAAAGAAATATTTGGCATGTTAATTCTAGTTTCATTTAATAACCTGTAAGGCACGTAAGTTTTTTTTTTTAAGTTAATGGGGAATTTTTGAGACGCAATACCAATACCTTAGAATTTGGTCTTGACGTTTGTATGAAATTCTGAGGCCTTGATATAAAACTCATTGTATTGTGATTTCCTTTTAGGTGTATTGCGCTAAGTAAAACTTGTCAAATAAATCTTTTAAAAATGCACTTTGTCTTGCCTGTGCTTTAGTGTCGTGCTGCTGTCCTTGCCCAGGCGTAGGGCCACATCTTTGCAGATGTCTTCACCTTGTCAGCTGCAGGTAAACTTGGCTCTGGGGCCCCCACTGCAGGAAGGGCTGCTCAGGGCCTGGCCTGGATTCCCTGGCTGTGCAGAGTGTGGCCTGTGCCAGAGGCCTTGCATGGCTGCCAAGTTAGTGAGGGTGCTGGACGCTGCCTGGTGCCCTGATTGCATGTTTTGGGAAGGAGGGTGTATGAAGCCACAGCCTCATGCGTGCTAGGCATTCTGAGGAGCTACACTGTCCTTAGGTGGTCCGAGCTTGGTGCTTTTGCTACATCTCTCAATGAAGTCTGCTGGATGGTATAATCCCATGACCTTTCTAACTGCTAATACCAAATAGTATTGTAGAACAAACCCGACTATCAATTCCTGAAGTAATGCTCTGCCAGGTGGAACTAGCAGAGTTTTGTTACATAAAGCACTACAACACACAAGTGAGAAAAATGTAGGCTTGGAATGCAGAGTGGGCCTTCAGGACGCTGCGCTCTGGGAGTGGCCACTAGCACCATGCGTAGTACCTCCTGGGCCAGGTCTGAGGTAGGATGGTGGTGCAGTGGCTGACTTGCAGGTGCAGCAGTAGCCCTGTATGCGGAAGATCTCAGAGTGCCATGGGTCTTGCTTGGCCCTGTCTATCCCAGGAGTGTAGTCCTGCAACTGCAGGGAAGGTCTGAGTGTCCTGGAGCTCCTCAGCCTAGCTGGGCAGTGAGGATCAAGGCTGAGAACTAGAAGCGAGGAGGGGCGCTGTGCCCGTCCTGTGCACCTACAGTCCAGGTGAGTCAGTTTAGAACCCAGACCTGGTTGAGGGTTCTCCAGGGTCCTTAAGTGAGTATGATCAGAGCATGGCCTGTTACAGGAAGAAAAGTGGCCACAGTAGAACTAGATTTGCCCTTTGACTCATGCATGCAGGACCACCATGGTTCTTTGGATCCTTGTGTCTCAGCCAGCCATGTCACCTGGAACGCGTAGCACTGGCTCCAGACCCCTGTCCTGACCTCTGCCCACCTCCCTGGCACCTGCACTCCGGAGTGAGCAGCTTTGGTGCCTTCCCATCGGTGGGGTTTTGGAGGGTGGTGTCCCAGATTAGGAAGCCAGGATTCAGCAGTAGTGCACCTGGGTGCAGTGTTTGCTCTGGGTGGGGAAGTTACCTTGGCCACTGACGTCTAAATGCTGGTCCCCTTGGTCCCGGTATCCACATTAAACAACGTAACTAGTAAGGACAGTGGAACTTTGTGTTTTTGAGACGGGCTGGTCTGTTCAGACTAGCCATGAACTCAGCAATCGTCCCACCTCAGCTTCCAGAGTGCTGGGACTTCAGGCATGTGCCACCACACCTGGTCTTCAGTGCATTTTTAAAGAAAGCAAAGTATTTATTAGAAAGAAAGCTAAGGTGGGGTACTGAGTGGACTGTTTTTTTTTTTTCCCCCCATGGTACCAGGGATTGGACTCAGGACCTTGAGCTTGCCAGGCAAGCGCCTATTCTACTGAGCTATCTCCCTGGCTGTGGATGGATGTAATTTATCTGGAAACAAACCTAGTCTAGTCGGGGCGCATCTGTCACTTGAACTTCAGCTCACTTGGTGGCACGTGGCCTGAGCTGCTACCCACCTACGACAGCCAGCTCTGGAGACACTGGGAGTTTAGTGGGCTTGCCACATGCCAAAGTGAAAAATAAAGGCATTTATTTCAGGGCTCAGGGCAGGGGCTCAAAAACAAGGAAGGTCAAGTCTTGCCTCTGAGATACAAGGCACCCGCAAGCTGAGTGTGCAAGTTGTGACACGGGCTGGAAGAGAAAACCTGACTCGATGCTAGTTCACCTGCTGCAAAATAGGGTAATTCTGTGAAAAGTGATAGTAGCAAAACCATGAAGTCACATCTGGACCAGTGCCAGTGCTGTGCCCAAGCAAGGAGGCAGTGCAGCCCGCAGGGCGGGTTCCCTACAAACCACAGGAGGGGCTGCTCCACCGCTGGGTGGGCTTCCAGGGTGTCGGGCACCAGGAGGAGCTGAGTCCACTTGGCTGTCTGGAAACCAGCCCCACGCACACCCTGGTGAGCTGGGAGGTCCAGTTTGGCACGGGACAGGCAGCGCTGGTGGGAGGGTGGCCTCAGGAGGTGGTGGAGGAGCAGCGCTGCAGCAGGAGGGTGTGGCAGCTGTCGCACACCCGCACTGGCTTCGGGTAGGAGGGCAGGGCCAGCTCGCTGCTGGAGCAGCTGTTGCAGAAGATGTGGCCACAGTTCCGGCAGTGGTGCTAAGGGAAAGGGAAGGCAGACCCTGGGTGGGAGTGGCCCCCACTGCCCGACGCCCTCCCTGCTAGTGACCTGTACAAGCCCATCCTTCCCGACACGAACGCTCGTGTCACCCACAGGGCCACAGCCACCTTGGCCCTCTCCCCCGGGCTCTGGCTGTGCGTCCAGGTCCAAGCCCTTCAGCACTTCCGTTCTCCACCCCAGCTGCTTTGTTCAGGGAGGACAGGCGGGCTCCAGGGCTGCGAGGCCTTCTATCTGATCTGTTCCCGGAACCTGGAATGGGCCACCCCAGTGCGTGCAGACGGCCTGCCCAAGTCACCAGCGACTTGAGTGACCTGCTATCCCGCAGATTCCCCATGAAGCAGGAGTTTCGAAGGTAAGTATCCCACATCCCCAGAAAGCCCAGCAGCCCAGAATGGGGAGAGGCCTTGCACCTGGCCTGAGAAGGAACCCCCGCTGTGGCGGCTGTGGCGGCTCTGCCACACATACCTTTCTCCGTGAGATGGAGAACTCCTTCTCACACTGCCTGCAGTGTGTGGCTTCATCATCCTTCAGCCAAGTGTGGCCCTGAGGAAGGAAGAGCACCACAGATGCCCTTAGGGCACCGGCTGTTCTGCATGCTCCCTGTCCTTTCCTCTTCCTTTGGTGGCCACGCAGGACGGGGAGGAAGGTGCTTCCACACCTGGCAGCACCTGCCCTGCCCCGACTCTCTCGGCCCTTCTGTTGCCCTTTTGGAAGAGCTCTCCAGGCCAAGATGTCGGCCCTTGCAGCCCAAACTGAACTGAAAGGACAACCCGTGCCTGGCTGAGCCAGCTGGAGGGAGGGAGAGAGGAAAAGAGGGAGGGATGGAGGGAGGGAGAAAGGGAGGGAGGGGGAGGGAGGGACGGAGGGAAGGAGGGAGGAAGGAAGGGAGGGGGAGGGAGGGAGGGCCATCTGGGAGACAGACAGAAGCCAGTCACACAGCCCTGGGAGCCACTTAGCTGCACGGCCCCAGGTCACAGGATATGGGCACAGGGGCAGGGTTGGGGTTGGTGTCCAGAGAGGTCAAAGGCACAGTGTGCTTTCCCAGCCCCTAGCATCTGGACAGAACATGGCTGCAGGAGCAGACCTCTGGGGCTCAGGCCACATGCCCAGGTGCCGAGAGTCCATGCTCAGGAGCTCAGAGCCTTGCCCTCCCTCCGAGGCCATCAGCTGTCGCTGTCTGTGCACTGCGTGCAGCATGGGGACACGAGGCCAGCCAGGAAGCCAGTGATAATGAATCCAGCTGCTGGTGGCAGCCTGGTGCCTTCTGCCCCAAGGGGAAGGAAAGGGCCTCGGCCTCTGCAGATGCTCCACACCCTGGCCAGGTTGTGACGCACCTTGCTCGGGGCCGCCTGGCTGGAAGGGAGGTCTCCCTGGTGCTATCTGCAAAGTCCCCAGGCCTCTCTGTGTCTCTTCCTTCCTCCCCTAGGGCACCTGTCATCAGGGCCTATCTGCAAACTACTAACAGCAGCCACAGACAGCTGCCAGCTGGCCCAGAGCTGTCACCGCTGCAAGCGAGCGAGCGAGTGAGGGGACTGTGAGCACACAGGCAGCTCCGCTGGGAGGCCCGGGAGGCCCTGGAGTCCCAGTGCTCTTTAGCCGCGGTGGCCGGAGGACGGCAAGCTCAGGCCCAGCCTCAGCAACTCAGTGGCTCAGGGAGACCTGGAGGCAGGCGCGGGCTGGCGTAGGGCTCACCCAGTGCTGCTGCAGGGGGCACTGACACCAGCGGATCGCATACCTTCAGGGCCTTGTTTACTTCTTTTATATCTTCCATCTTCAGCTTGGACCTAAAAAAAAAAAAAAAATTCACAGCAGTGAGAAGGGCTTAAAACTGCCCAGCAGCTGGCGGCAGTCCTGCTCTGCGAGGGTGCCAGAGCCAGGGAGGATGACCGCCACCCGCATCACCCCAGAGTCACTGTTCTTGCACAGGCTCGTGAGTCCTCCCAGGGATGGGGGGCCCAGGGCTGCAGCGGCCAGGACAGCCTGTTCAGCCCACGGGCTCAGAAACCGCGTCGCAGGCTGGGTCCTGCCCTCACTGCCAGGCTGTGCTCGCGTCCGCAGACCGCCCCCCACCTCTGCTCATTCTCCATGCAAATAGCCACAGCGAACCGTGTGGTGCTGCTGGTGGAACCACAGGAGATGCAGTGTGAACTTAACAGCTGGAGCCTTTCTTATCACCAGGTATTCATCTACACTGTCACGAGATTCGTCTAAGAGCCAACACGCAGGGCACTGCCACACGGGCCAGGGATCCTGGGCTTGGCGCCGACCTGCCCGCTTCCACTTCGTCCTATAGATCCAGGTCAGCAGGCTGATGGGATCAGCCCATGGCAGCCGAGACCCAGACCTCTGTAAACACACTGAGCAGAAACGGAACATCTCGTGGCTGCCGGCCTGTCAGCTTCTGGGGCCGAGATGCCACTCTGACAATACTAGGTCACTGATGGTGAAGAGAGAGTGTAGAGGTCAGACTGTCACCTTTTTGGGGCCTGCAGCCCAGTGCAGGAGCCCTGCTTATGAGACTGCAGGTAGAAGAGTGCTGGGTGGCAGCCCCCTCCTGCTCAGCCACCTGGCATTGCTACCAGCCAGGTGGGCACTTGGTGGGCAGCCCTACGCTGCTCTGCAGACACAGGTGGGGAAGTGTGGTGGCACCTGTACCTTTGACCCATGATTCCCTGTGCCTCCCCGTCCTCATAGCAGGTGGGCCTCAGCCTTTGCGTATGCACTCGCTGCCTGGCTGGCCCAGGTCACTTTCTGGGTCCCGGTCCTGGACTCCTGGCAGTTCACACCGTGGCCTCAGAGCTGTGTCATGCATGGAGGACTCCAGGCCACCTGCGGTTTCTAGGGGCCTTGTGGAAGGGGCTTCCTAGTAGCAGCTTGGTTTGTAGGCCAGACTGGCTGCTGGTGGCTTCTTTTCTCTAAAGCCATTTGTTAGTTGCTACCACTTGGAACCAGAAGAGTCTGACTTGAAAAAAAGCTACCTGGCTACCACACACTGGCGTAGATCAGGAATGTCCCTGTGTGCTCACTGAGGACACCAAGCTGGGGGTGACCCGGAAGGTACCTCAGGTCACCAGCGCCCCTGCTCCCTGTCACCTGGACTCAAGCGTTTTGCTCTGCCCTGCCCTGCTGAGGAGCCAGCCGAACCCATGTAAAGACCTCTTCCCAGTGTGGATACTGAGGAGGTGACATGCAATCGTCACAGAGACAGATGAGGGCCATCTGCTGCAGGTGACCAGGGCAACCTGTCCAAACTGGGACACGGCATGGAGCCCTCAAGACAAGTAGGGAGAGGTGGGCAGGGTCTCGGCAGTGCCCCAGCCAGGAGACGCCTGGGCCCAGGGCGAGTCCCCAGAAAGGCAGGTGGCAGCACTGCGGCAGAGCTGGCCGGGCCACAGCAGCCGCCTTCCTTGTCAGGAAGCACCGTGGCCTCAAGGGATGTCGCCTGGTACTAGCACAGCCAGGGACAAGCGTGATGCTCCCCAGGAGACCAGGGCTTGCCCTGAAGGGCACGGGGAGCCACGCTTACTGGCTGAGGTGCAGGCCCATTTCCTGCAGAGCTTGTTCTTGTTCACCACAGACCTTCTGCAACTCCGTCTTCTCTTCCTGGAGCTCCCGCAGCTCCTGAAAGGGACAAACCAGACATCTGGTGCCGAACCACAAGTTTCATTTGTTTGTTTTTGATACAGGGCCTCCAGTTCAGGCTGGCCTTGTACTCACTACGTGGAGCCCAGGCTGGCCTGAACTTGGCACAATCCTGCTTCAGCCTCCCCAAGACCTAGGATTAATAACAGGCAAGTGTGTGCCAGCACACCATTTTTTAAAAAAGTTTTTGTAATCAGGGCAACAAGCAATTCAGAACGTTTTTACAAAAGGAAAATGTGGTTTTGCAATAATGTTTTTTTTTTTTCTTTTTTTGAGACAGGGTCTTATTATATAGCTCAGGCTGGCCTTGAGTTCACTTTGTAGCCCCGGCTGGTCTTGAACTCACCATGATCCTCCTCCTTCTGCCTCCTGAGTGCTGGGATGACAAGGGTGTGCCACCACAGCAGGCCGCATGCTATCTTTCTAGGTTATGAGGAATGGGCAGTGGGAGGTGAGCAGCACAGTGGCTCTCAGAGAGACTGCAGCAGCAAGTGTGGTGAGCAGCTGGGCCCACCAGGCAGCAAGGACCAAGCTGTGCTCCGGAAAGGGCTTGTCGAGGACAAGGACAGCCAGGAGCAGGACTTCACCCACAGGCTCACCCGCCTGTAAGGAGCCCTTTTTTCTGCGACTCAGGGCCCTGTCCACAGCAACAGCAGTGTTTTGCCTGTTCTGCCAGCTGAGCCCTACACTGGCTGGCCTCTATGCAGCACCCCAAGAGGAAGGCCCCAGCTGGTCACTGTGCAGAGCAGGGAGAGTTCCCTGTTCCCCCAGGAGCAGGGGATGCCAGGCAGCACCCTACCTCCTCTTCTCCCTGAAGCCCACAGGGCCTAGGGTGTACCTGGAACATGGGCCCTTTGGAGGACAGTGGGGACACTGGGTAGGATGAAGGCCTCAGGCCTCCAGGGCTTCCCAAGGACATGCCGATTCCTCTCCTGGCCTAGGCCTGCTCCTCATCCCAGCTTCTGCCTAGTGTCACTTGCTCACTCTGCGCACCTCGAGGACATTTTCCTACTTCACTGTCTCCACAGCACTTCGTCCAAGTTCCTCTGGACACCAAGCGGCTCCTACTGGCTCTCTGCCTTCTCCTAGGACAGGTGTCCCTAGTGTGAGGATGGACCCCAAGGCCTGGCTGGGTGGTGCCGCTTAGAGGAGCCACACAGGTAGCCTTGGGCAGCAGCCTCTGAGGACACGGCCCTCCCTGACCCTCACTTGTGCTTACCTTTTTTTTTTTTTTCTTCAGAACTGGGGATTGAACTCAGCCCCTTGCACTTGCCAGGGAAGCGCATATTCATTCCACTGAACCATCTCCCCAGCCCCTGTGCTTACCTTCTTTAGTCCTTCTACCTGTTGAAGTTCTGTCCGGAGCAGAGAGGAAGCATCTTTCTCATGTTGTAATTCTCGTTGAAGAGCTTGTCTTTGCTCTTTTTCTGACTTCAACTCTTTCTCTAAACTTGAACTGTTTTCCCAAAGTGAACTGGAATTAGTCTCAAAGGGAGATTTTTCAGAGGACTCACAACCCAAAACATGGGGGAACCATCTGACAGGTCATCCGAAGTCTTCAGGAAACCCACAGCCTTTCTCAGGCAGTGAAAGGTCAGACTTGGGAGCTCAGCCAAAGGCGAGGAAATCCCGCAGCTCTGAGTCAGAGGCCCCAGGGCAGAAGCGGCGGGCAGGGTGGGGGGCCAGCTGTCCCCCTCCTGGGAACCCCCCTCTCCTCCAGCCGGCAGGCTTGGTTTCTGCCCACTGGGCCCCTCCCTTCTTACCACTGCTCCTGCAGCTGCGAAAGCTGCTGCTGCAGGGCGCCGACCCGCCCGCTGAGCTCTTGCTGCAGCTTGTGGCTCCGCTCTTCCGCACCCTGCCTCGCTCTCTCCGAGTGCTGTAACCTGCAGGTGGGCGACGGGGTGAGCATGCGTGGCGCCCATCTCTGCGAGAGAAGGGTCAGCTCTTAACGACTAAGACTGATACATGTGCATGTGTTTTCCTTCTTTCTGCAGTGCTGGGGATTGGATCTCTGGCTTGGTGTGTGCTTGGCAAATGCTCCACCACTGAGCCACACCCCAGTGCAGAGGGTCTCCCTTAGTCCATGAACATGCTTGAGACACCCCTCAGCTCACGAGCCACAGAACCTGGGAGATGGGCTTGATTTTCAGCATGGCGCTTCTGCACCAGCCTGCGCTCCTGAGCCTCAGCAGTTTGCTCCTCCAGGTCCCTGGCTGGGTCGGATGCGCCAGTCACAGCTCGCCTGCTCACCCCTGAAGACACCGGCACCAACTCTGGCTTTCAGTAGTCACGAATGGAACTTCTACAAGGATCTGCGTCCTGTTTGTGTGTGTGTGTGTGCAGGTGGCAAATGCAGAGAAGCGGCCCTGTAGGCCGTGTGGTGAAGGCAGTGCTCAGCCTTCTAAGACACTTCCACAACGACTGCACCATCCTGCGCCGGCGGCAGCAGTGCGCGTCCCACCTGCTCTGTGTGGAACACGGAGGCGGGCAGCTGGCGGGCCCGGAGCTGCACGTAGCCCGGCTGTGCAGGGAGGGCCGGCGAGGGCAGGAGGGCCTTGCCCTGCAGGGCAGGCGCACCGCGCTCCAGCGCCCCGAGCCGAAATCTCGGCTTTCTTCTCATCTACACGGCCCCCTTCCGCAGCCAAATCTGTTGTTCACTCTAAACCTGGAATGCTCGAGTTCAGTTCTGAGAGTTTCTTCTGGATACAAGCTCTGTCGCACCATCTGTCAGACCTCGGATCTGCACATTTTCTCTAAATCCCTAACTTTTTATTCTCTCAGCTATGGCTGTCATAGAACAGGTTGTCTGGTACTGGAGTTGGAACATGGGGCACTCTTACTGCTCGGCTGCAGCCCCCTCCCATTTAGAAATCCTTTTATTGTGAGCAGCACTTGCTAAGTTGCCCAGGCTGGCCTGAAATATACGATCCTCCTGCCTCAGTCTCCTAAGCAAATGGGATTATGGGCACCACTGCACTCAGCTCATAGGTTTACAAGTTTTGGGACTCTGGCTGTGTGGGTCAGTGGTTGGCAGACCACTCGCTTAGCTTGCATGACATCCTGGGTTTGATTCCCAGCCCACAAAAAAAAGGTAAAATTTGCTTTGTGACACACTCTCCCTATGTAGCTCATTTAGGCTGGCCTCAAACTCACTATGTAGGCCTCCCAAGTGCTAGAATTGGAGACAGGCACCATGATGCTCAGCTGTAAGACTGTGATAAAGCCTTATTACCTTCTCTATGGATGATTTTGTTATCTTGTTGTCTGACCCAAAGTCACCAAGATTTTCTCCTGTGTTTTCTTCTTTTTTTGCGACAGGGTCTCACTATGAGTGAGGAGCTGGCCTTGAACTCATGGCAATCCTCCTGAATGCTGGGATTATAGATGTGTGCCATCACTCCCGGCTCCCTGTTTTCTAATAGTTGGATAGTTTTTGGTGTTACACTGACACTGATGATCTATCTAGTTAATTACTGTGTAAGCTGTAAAGCCCAAGGGTTGTTGTTTCCTATACAATGCCTAATTGTTCTGGGTTTTCCTCCCACTGACTGTATCAGCAGTCTTGTAACAAACAGCCTGAAACGTCTGCAGTTCAGTTTTTT